CTCTTATGGATTATCACGTCAATCGCCCTTGGAAGAATAGGGTAACGAACACAATTTTCGACGAAGTAGATGGTTTGATGGCCAAAGCCAAGACGTGATCGCCTCCAAGAATCGGAACTTCTTCGCCTGTGGAATCCGACCGCCTCGCAAATGGGAAGCAGTGCCTGGCGTGATGGTGGATATGTTGAGCAATTATTTGAACATGTCTTTGTTAGATATTTCTATCGTTTCTTCAAGTAAAATTTGCTGAAAAAAAATCCGCAATAATTATGCATCAACCTAATAGTAGTTTTCACGGTACCTTATTGTTTTGAAGGCGGATACGGTAAAAAGAGGTAGAGTAAAATAAAAATAGTAATTTCAGATAATTGCCCCTGAGAAGCTATGATTAACAACTATCGGCTTTGAAACAATGGGAACCATACAGAGAGCTAGAGTTCAGCTTTCTGCCAACCTTGAAGTTATACGTCAAAAATTAGTATAGAGATAAAAGGATAAAGTCTCCCGCTTTTCATCAATATTGTCTGAGTGATACGCCCCATATTCGACTTCCATCGAGAATCGTACTAGCGTTTGATTGCGTATGTGGCCTACACAATGAATTACGGCGGCCAGCCGATGTACAAGTCAGTGCTTTCATCCTCCCAGGCGAGTCTGGTATCAATTAACCGACCCCGGACGGATGAAAAGCTTGGTTAGCCTAGGCAGATATGTCAAATAATATTAATATGCATCAAATAAAAAAGTAAATCAAAAATCTCGAAATGTATTTATCCATATCGCAAATTTCATTACAAGACAGAGTGTTGATGAACAAACCATAGCATTTCCGATTGCACTTTTGTTGTTGTTCCTTAGGTTTTCTCGTCCTTTGTTAACCTCATAATCAGCAATATTAGTGACATTACGAGCACAAGGGAAACCGGTTCTGAAGGAAACGATTCCATTGGTGATCAAATTTATGTGATCGAATTACTTACGAAACAGCGGCTTCTATTTAATGGATATATAGAGCAATTATGAAAGCCCAACGAAGGAAAAGACTAGACACGGTAAAGCTTTAATAGGGTTGGGCGTCCTTCATGTCGGGTATCTTCTAAGCAAAAAAAGTCTTTCAGGTCTAATCGATCACGTTTTTTTAGATGTGACTCTGATAAAAGCTAACAGGCCCTGAAAGGACGTAGAGGTTTGAACGGTCTCTAACCAGTATCATCGCTAGATTCCGTATCCGGGCCAGTGTGATAGCGTGCTTGGCACCATACCTACCACACCCTCCCTCAGCAATAAAAAGAGGGATAGAGCCGATTAGTAGAGCATCGAAGATGAAGACTTCGAGAGTTGATCGATTCCGTCTGAGGGATGCGCCCACGCATTCGACTTTCGTTCAGAATCGTAGTGGCGTATTGAATGGGTGTGCGGCCTATACCATACCTTGCAGTGGTCAGCCGTCGTACAAGTCAGCGCATTTACCCTTCCAGAAGGATCTGGTACCAGTTAACCCGAAGGGATGGAAAGCTTAGTGGCCTAAGGGGATATCGACTCGGGACCTAGCTTATTCGGTATATTGGCAAGAATGTAGAGAACTATCACACCACGACTGATCTCAAGATTAGTTTCTGGATCGTTATTCGGTCAGGTCAACCGAGCTTTACATCCCCCCAGTGCTGCCTAATTGATACTATACTTGCCTGGGGTGTGGTGCAGTAGGAATGACATTGTCGCGTCGCGGTGAGAGAGACGCCGCGCTCGAAGGAATGTAGCAGAAAGCAGCAGTAATTAAGAAATACAGGAACAAAAGAACAACAGTAGAATTATGCCAGAAGTAATAATCGCATAGCAATGGAGCTGTGTGAAGAACGCTAGAAGTGTTATAACGAGGCAACTGGTCCGCGACAGCCGCGTGCGGCGGATCGATTACAAAAAACCGTTCCTACTACCCCTCTTCCCATGTCTGTAGCATAGGAACCCTCTCTTGTTTGCCGGTTAGCCACCTAAATTTGATGAAAAAGCAACATACGCAATCAAACGCTAGCGGGATTCATTCAAAAGGTTTACATTTTTTTCATATTCTCTCAATTCGCACTTTCGACTCCATAAAGTTAAGCGGTACTTCCAGAAAGCATATACAGTAGCGCTCAAAAGTATTTGGCCAACTTTAA